TAAGGGGAGGGGGCATTGCTCTCCATACCATCCCACCTGATTCACTGGTGAATGCATATTGCATATGGCTGCATGGGATATAACATTCTTAAAGGAGGCTCCCATAGTTTTAGGAGTCTTTCCCAAGCAAGGTCCAAGCATCCCCTCTCTGCAGTCTTTTCACTGGCATGAAAAGATTTTCTTGTTTAAATAGACTTTGTGCTTTATATGACTAGGGTAGAGGAATTAGGTGTGCTGTGTATAACATATATTTCGAGTGTTTAAACTTGTTTAAATTAATGCCTACATAATGGTTTTAATTGGATGTATGGCTTAATATTTGTTTTTGTTTTGTTTTCCAAAAAGCTTTTTTTTGGCGGCTCCATTTCATTTTATATCACAAGACACATTGAATTCCACTTGGAGAAATTTAGGACAGAAATCAAATACATGAATAAAGAATAAGAAATAAATAAATAAATAAAACCAATACTACTTGCCTTCAGTGTCTCAAACCCAAGTTCAAAACTATCAATTTGGAATATCCTGGTTCTATGTTTAGGTCTACCCTTGGGGTGGCACTATTGCTCAAAAAACATTCCCAGTATTTAAAGTTCTATAAAATGTTGATATCAATTTGAGGATCCTAATTCACTTTGTGAAATAAAACAATATTAAATGGGTATTGATTGAGTTAAAACCGGAGCATTGAAAATCAGATACTTTGAGGTAACACAAGGGCTGCCCAAAGGTGGTGTGTGTGTACACACACACACAAACAGACACAGAGAGATATATAACTTTGAGGACAAAAGAGAAAATGTTTTCAACCCCCAAACAAGACAAAATATGTCTGTAACCAAAGACTAGCTGGAATTTTGTTGGTGTTTTATGCATATGTACCAGAGATATGGTTAGACATTTTTGCCCTATGCAGAACTCCCATATTCATTGTAAGGACACAGAAGTCCCATTAATCATATGAAGCCATTGCATATTGTTGTACATTGGTGCATGAGAACATCACATATGATCACACATTGATCTGCATATGCATTGTGCAGTTATGTATACTGCAGGGAGGTTGTGCATTTGGCTGTACAATGTCACTAATTTATCTACTAATGAGACTGCATTGTGCAATTTCCAGATTGATTCCATAAGCATAAATTTATATCTCTACTCATTGCAGATCATGACCCACCTTGGCCATGAGAAAAGAAATGGAAAACTGATGGGAAGCCTGAACAAGAGAACTTATATGATAAAAAAGGATAAGATGAAATTTGTTCTATCACAAATCTCACTTGTCTTTTCTAAATTCACATCTGCTAGTGTGCTCACCGTCAGACTTCTGATCGGAGGAGAAAATGAGCAAATATTTCACACTCTGGTCTGTCCAGAGTCAAGCACGCCTAAGCATGCTGAAATGAATGGGATGTGGCCACAGAAATCCAATTTTATGCACATTTATTCGGGAACTGAACCACTGATAGATTCTGAAAATTGTAGTCCAAATAAATAAAGCTTCTAGGCTACAAATCAGATGATCCTGTGTTGAGCAGATAACTATTGACAAATATGTTGCTGCTGCTTTTAAATATGTAGTGTGGAGTTATAGTTCCTAGTTGTGCTTCTAGGATTGAACAAGAAGATACGTACCTTCCCTTCTCACCTCCCTTTTCTCTCACTCTAATGTTTTCCCAGGGGGCAGGCCCGCAACAGGATAAGTAAGGTGTAATGTCTAACCAAAAGAAAGCGAACTGCATAAAAGGGAATATGTCTGAAATTGATTGCAGGGAAAGCAAAAGGGTAGGGGAAGTTAAGTGTGTGAGGAAAGGAAACAGGTACAACATTCATCAGCAGTGGAAAGAAGAAGTAGGAAACAAAGAAAGGAAAGCAAGTAAAAGTGTGGAGTGTTAGAAAGGTATAGTGGCAACTTCTTCTCCACCAGACCTCCCCACTGTCCAGGTCATAGCAGCACAGAAAAAAGCCTCTCAGATTTTGAGAGATTTTGAAGTTTCTGTGTGGACTCAAACCTATACAGCAATGGTTGGTTTCCTGAAATTAAGGTACTTCCACATGACTCTCTTTGGCACTTACAATTTCCCCTGTTCCATAGGAAAGAGGTAAGGGTTTAAAAGAAATTTTACAAACATATCCAGGCAAGCATTAACAAAAATGGTCAACCCAGAGTAGTCGTGATCTTGAACAACAAGATTTTTCATTGCAAAAGCTAGCAGAGCTTGGGCCTTACTAGACCATGAGGTCTTTTGAAGGATGCTAGAGAGCCACTGCATATATTGTCAACTGCATACACAGAATAATCATCCACATAAAATTAGAATATAGCCAGCATGTATGGACATCACACATATGTATTTCATTGCATGTAGAAAAGATGGGAATCTATGGCCAACTGCAATATCTTGGCAGATGTCCTAAAGCCAAAGCTATCTGTAAGTTTCATATGCTAACACTAGTCACCATTTGTGAATCTGGGAAATAAAAGAGATTGTATGCTCTAATATACTTTCAGAAAATCCATGGTGAGTATATTTCTTCCAAGAATTCAGTTTTCATAGTAGCCAAGCAAATGCCTATGTGTTTCCCTGCAAGGGCTATTCAAGAGCTAAATCTGATACTTCTGGTATGAGTTTTCTTTCCTTCCAAGTTAGATCTTAGGGACACATTACTTGTCTGAGTTCAATTCTCATAATCGCCAATGGCCAAGCTGCCTAGGAGATTCTGAGAATTATAATCCCAAAAATGTATCTCCTTGATGCTTTGAACGCAATCAGATATATAAGTACAGTTGATGGATAAGAGAATTTTTCCTTTTCGTCTTTTCTGATCCGCAGGTACCTCAATTATTATTTTATGCCTAGCTTAAGTATTATTTTATTACATAAACTTGATCCCTTCCAATATGGGTTTTTTGCACATTATTCATTTTCTTGTTAATTTCTTTCCTTAAATAGGACTTCATGACAACAAAATTGAGTATATTTACATGGATTCATCTGAATCAAAATACATGACAATGTCAAGGTGCATTAAAAGGATTGGAACGTCATAACATAAAAATAAAATCTGAATTATGCTCATAGGATTCAGTTAGCAATTGAAAGAATTTTTGAGAAATGATCCAAAAACTATGAAAAGGATAATTCTTCACAATTAGGAAGTTATTCTGCACAAAATTCATATGTAGCTTCTTTGCACAGGAAACATCCTTTCTTATTTTCATTTTGCACAGCACAAATAACCTTTGCAAAGAGAAAATCCCCAACTACAGCATATTTCTACATAGGGAACAGCAAACAAACAACATTTCTGTCCAGATGAACTAGTTCCTGTTCAGAAAATACTGTTTCCTGGGGGAGGGAGAGAATCTGTTTTGCATGCAACAAAAAACCATGCATGAATTCTGTACAGAATAAGTCCTAAGTTGCAAATTGTCTGCAAAAACTGCAGGTTTTTTATTTTAAAAACCCTTCTTACAGTAGTAGGAAAATTTGTATACTTATGATTTTTTTCCTTTGAGAATGAAATAGGCAAAGAATCACATTCCTAGTTTTATTACATGCAATGAAATACACAAGGATTTTCATACACCCCAGTCTTCATGCAGCTTTCATGGTTTGGTTTCAAATTTCCCAGAAGGGAAATTGGTATTCAAATCTGCAGTGTCTGAAATACTTCTGGCTACTATGAAAACTGTAACAAAACTCTCAGGTGATCTCAAGAAGGCTGTCATTCCCAATTTCTACCTTGAACTTTACTCTGATAAAATAAATTCAGGTTTTAATTGTATTTACTTTCTCACTTGCAAGAACTAAAGAACACTTCTCCTGTTAGTTTAAACTTTTTAGCAACCCTTGTCTTAACATATAAACTTTCAATATTAAAGAACTGTTTGTATGTTTCCTTTTCTTTTAGTATCTATTGACATTTATATTGCCCAATATTAGTTTTCTGTAGTCCATTCTTCTCTCCTTTAAATTATTTGCAATGTCAAGGAGCCAGTATGGCTGACATTTCTTTCCCAATGCACTCCAATAATGGGTATTTGTGACATTACTAGATACCTCTTGAATGAGTATAAAGCTTAAACAGTGTCTGCCAACAACTGTTTCATTTAACAGTAAAAAGAGGAACATTTTCATCAACTTCCCAATATGTAAATAGTTCAAGCCTGAAGCTCATTATGTACAAACAAGACCAGAAATACCAAATAAAGAGAGTAAAATAAATTATCTATGATTTGGGAAGTGAAGAAAAGCATTATAGGTTGGATTTATATTTAATGAAATTTAAGAACAATGAAATAAGTGATATTAGCCATAACTAACATTTTTTCATTGCCTTTGCTGTTACTGAATCAGTTATCACCTATTTATTTGATTCAAAAATCAAAACCACTGGCATTCAGAAGAAGTCCTCTTTTCCAAATTGTCATGCCTCGGTTCCTATTCCTCCTTTCTTTTGTTTTTCCAAAGTGTATGCAACCTCTGAAAGAATATTGATTTTCTATGCCTTGACTACTTCATATCCATAGTAAAACTTCAAGTATATATGTACTTACTTGGAAGTTGATCCCAGAGGTGTTGATGGGACATTAATCCAAGTAAGCATGTGTGGGGTTGGATTGCAAACCTTTCAGACCTCTGAAGGATTGATCCCACCATTTTAGCATTCAAATACTCAGTGCCATATTTAGGATGTGAATCCTTTTTTTTCAGGAAATCAAGCCATGCAATTATAGATACTCTTAGGATAAGATACAGTCAAACCTCTTTAATTTACTCCCAGACCACACCCCTCTATGTCTCCCAAAACTTCTAACCATCCCACTCTTCAACCTAGTGAGTTATGGAAATCCCAAAGTCATATCCATTTGGTTTAGAGATGTGACTGCATCCAAAAAGAAAATATATAAATCAATATAAAGGCACCAAAGGTTACATCAAAAGGCATCTTTCAGTCCAAACTGGCAATGGAAATAAAACCTTCTCTACCTTGCAGGTCAGCTTTGGTCAACTCAACTTTGTTAGCAAAAGAACGGAAAAAGCGAAAACAATAAACCATAGGTTAGTAAAACGGCAGATAAAAACAGGGCAACATCACTGAAAATAAACAAACAGAAAGCAACTGGTATAACCAACACAGCCCTAATGCACACTTAAGAGATGTGAAAAGGGTGGCACTGTCAAAGACAACATATAGGCACAGCAGGAGTAAGGTAGCCATGATGGCTTCCAGTCCACCACTCCCTGCACAACATCTAACTAACACAACAGGCAACATAACACAACTATTGGGGAGGGTGAGAAAAGGATAGGTACACTTATACATGGAGTAATACTGGAAAAAATATTAATGGCACATGATTCACAAAGATTTATAGGGCAAGCAGCAAACAGTGGCATTTTGTTTCTTACTGGGGAGATTTTGCATTTACCAAAAAGAGCCTAAAATCTATTAACACCAAAAACATTTATACCACTAAAGAAAAAGAGACATATGTATTTCTTTTGGGTACGCAGATTTATTCTGGAAAAACACAGGTAGAGATCCACTTCCTAGATTGGCTTTAAAAATCCTGAAATTTGGATGATTAAAAAAACAAAATGGTTTCATGGGTGAAATGATGCTTTCTCCAACAATAGCAGCACAATCAGCAATGGTGAGATGACTTCCATGTATGGCCTCCTAATAATGCAACCATCTCTGTTTCCGAAGACCATTCAAATGCCAACAATCCTGAATACACCCATCTTTGTAGATTCTGAAGTCATCTTTGTTCCTGAATGATCAGGCGGTGGTTGGGTTAGAAGCAACTTTGCTTAACTTCATATCATGTCTCAGTTGGGCATGTTTCTGGAGAAGGTAGATCTGGCCATCACTGAACACATATTTTTAATCATGCTCCAAAATGCTTTGAAAAGGGCAACATTTCCAGTTTGCTTCACCACGTTTTCTGGTCAGGAACTGCTATCAGTATTCAGATCCTGGGATTTTATAATTGCTGATTCTGTTTAAGCTCTTAATTGGTTTCAAAATCCAATACAAAGCTCTGTTTTTCATCGTTAAAACCCTAAATGGGCTGAGTATGGAATACATGATCCTACCGTTTGATGAATTGGCATTCAAGTGACCTTGCTTCACACGCTATCACTACCTGAAATATAGTTGTGGCTATTGTTTAACTATCCGTTTTGCCAACTTTGATCCCCTGAGCATCTGTCTTGATCCAAATCTTTTGGGTCTATGAAATGTCATTTAATTTTGGTTGGCTTTTCACTTGGAGTAATTGTTAGTACTTGTTCAGATCATATTTATAATATATCTTTTTGTTTTGTTTTGTTTTGAATTCCCTTTTACTATCCTATAATATGCTACTTTGGAGCTTTTGCTCAAATGCAACCTTTCTGCCACAAAAAAATGGTGTCAAAGATCCTAATGTTGGTGAGAATTTGGAGGTCTGGGAGTCTACAAGAGGAAAGATATGTAATTCTCACCTGCAATGCAACTTAAACTATGAAAAACAGAAGCATATTCATGCTTCTCCAAGCATGGCAAGTTCTAGCTGTTTCTTGGACATATATAATGCTGGGTTTTTATGAGGTGCTCAACACAGATTTGATCCAAACAACATAGGAACATAGGAAGCTGTCTTATGCCAAGCCCTATCTGTGGTTCATGTAGTTCTGGGGTAGCCCATAGGTCATATACAGCTTATAGGGACCTCAAGAGGTCCATTTGTTGCTTCAAAAATTATCCAAAATTTTCTAAGGAATGTTGAAGACATATCCACCATATTTGGAGGCACTCAGGATGCCAAAATACCTTCTAGAAGGTGTGGAGGACTTCCACCACATTTTGGTACCACCATGAGTTAATTTAGGCCAAAGAAAGCCTTTTTTGGCTAATGTAACCCTCTAGTTCTTCACAGCTGCCCACTCCTGATCTTGCCTAAAATTGAAATGCTGAATGTTAATAGTTCTTTTGAATTTCAGACAGGCTATTTCCTTAGGTCTATTTAAAGATTCCTGGCATTCCCTCAGGTCTGCCCAGCCAAGTGATAACTAAGTCTGATTCCGCTTAGCTGATAATATTGGATATGATCAGGTGTGTTGTGCATAGTGTGGCTGTAAAAAAATCAATATTCATTGTTAATGGAAGTTCATCTCTTCTTTTCAGTATATGGTGTGTTCCTTTTGAGAGAATAAAAAAGAAATGCAGCAGTTTCTTATATTATGATGAGAATTAATGATGACTGTATACACTTGGTACACTAGAAATTAGAAGGTGGCTACTGGGATAGAAACAGTGCCTGGCATGTCTAAGTGGAGCCTGGAAAGAATCCTACTTGAAATTGTGGAGAAGTGCTTTCAGCCAATGTTGATAAATATTCGAGTAGAGGCCCTATGTATATATAGCAGTATCCTCCATTCTTTTCCTGTCCAGGTTTCCAAGTGCTGTGGTCCCATTGGGATTTTTATTTTTTAAATTTAATTTCAGGACTCAATATTGGGTTTTAGCATTTCTTGTCCTTGCCTCATGCAAGGGAATTCAGATAATGGAAGTATTTAATAAAACCCTTCATAATACCAGAAAGGAATAAAGGTACAAATATCCATTAATATAGGAAAAAAATGATGAAGTAGCCACTCTTCACCTCCATTCCAGATATATACTCACCTTCATCATTCATTATTTTCAGAGAGTACCAGCATAAAGTGCTGTTGATGTAACCATGAAAGAAAGATCCTACCATTCCTTTACCATATTAGTTTTGAAGGCTGCAATTCTATTCATACAATCATATTCATGGAAAAAGACCTATCTGGTACAGTGGAAATTCTATCTGAGGGGACATATGATTATACTGTAATATTCTACAAAGGAGAACACAATAGAGTTGTAAGTGGAGCACAGATTCTAAAGACTTCTCATATTTAAATTCTTAAATCTTTGCTTTTATTTTACATGTTACCATAATTGCCTCTACCAAAGCAGTTGTGATTCCGCTACCTCTTGATGAAAATGCTTAAAGACAGTGATAAAATATACTGAGATTTTGAAAACTGCAACATCTATTTTTTGCCTGATCATTTGTTCCAAATATGAAACCAAGGATGAAACCAACACCTTCTCTACATGAACCTCTGCAAATGCTCAAACTATCAACTTTCAAACAAAAATAGCGAAATGAGGCTTCATTTATTCCCATGATTGTTGCAAGTGCTGTGGGTCAAAGCTTCAGGAGAGGAAGAAGAGGAAATATTGCAACACTCTCATACAATTATGAAAAACATTACCATTATCTAAATTTAATTGAGGATATTGTCAGTATCTGAATCTATGCTTCAGGATTGGCTCATATTACCATATAATGGTGTTTCTAAAAAAAGTTAACATTTGTTATTAGGTTTTGATGAATGGCAGAGAAAAAAGGGATTTGTAGTTCCACAAATGGAAACTACATACACTTCTATACAAATTGTATTAACAGAAGTTTGTGGGTTAAACTTTGGAGGATGGTAAAAATGAAGATGGTGGGAAATAGCTAACAAATAATCATAGATAAACAGTGTAATAGATAAGCAGGACATATCCATATACAGAGTTACTCATTGCAAAAATGCCTTGGATCATTGCAGTTTTTCATCAGGCTATTTAGTATGCCTGTGTTCAGCAGCTGACTTCAATGGCAGAATTATCAATAGAGTCACAGCCATTAAAAAGAAGACTTCCGTGTCAGGTAGAATGAACTTTCAACACAGAAATATTGGAAATGGATTTATATTGCTCATTTTTTAAAGAGAGAGGTGGTGATTGTTTTTGAAAATGTTTTGTGTTTGTTTCTTCCATATAGCTATTATTTTTATTGATAGGATTGAGTCACTTCCTTCTGAATATTTCTAATGATTGGTTGCATAGTCAATGCAAAGAGAGCATTTTTCTCCAAAGATCCCATCAAAGGTCATGGAGCCCTGAATTGAAGAGATCCAGGTGTTCGCTGGGAAATAATTTCTTTCTTGGATGTCAAATGTTTTATTTCTCATTTCTGGGTTGTTAGAATTCTTCAAATGGCTATTTGACAAACATTTGGGGATTCTTTCCCCAGACAATTAACAAAACGGCCAGATTAGAGATTAAAATGACCAAGGTAGACATGGTGTAGAGATCTCCACAGTGACATCTTAGCAATGCTAAGACTTTTAGACTGCATTGCAATGTATGCATTATTTATCACATTTTATATATTATGTTGTAATGGTACTGGACTTGTTTTTGAAAACAGTGGAGGGGTTATTTCTCACTGGCTTTATATTTTGTTAATTGAGTAATATTTTGCTTGTAATTATTCTTATAATTTGTGTGTTTTTATTTTTTTTTAAAAAAAATGTTTGAAATCCAATTGATAAGGAAAAGCAAGGCTGGAGTAATTAATGTAACTAAATACACAAATAAAACTTTTTCACCTCCATTACTTTCCCCTAACTAAAAATAATTCTAAAGACTTACGTGATTCCAAGTGACAACATGCTGCTACTGATATCAAGTGATTTCTTTTTGCTACAACTGTTTCAGCCAACTCTGTGTGCCTTTTCTAACCAAACTATTTTCTCACACAGATGAAAGTTCCCAAGTTTATATATAACTAATGCCTAGAACATATAATTTGATACAACCTTTCTACCTTAAATGCTACTGAAGATGATTATGTCATTCCATGGCTGAATACCTGAGGGCTTCGTGATAACTACCAGCTAAAGCTTGGATTCCTCACAGCTGGATGCAGTAAAGCCCTTGGCTTTACTAAAATGTCTTTTCAGGAGTATATGAGCTGCCTGCAAAGCACCGATCAAACCTGTAACAGGATAAAGGACTAGCTGCCAACACCTTCTCTACATGAACCTCTGCAAAACAGCACAGAGACAAATACTTCCGAATCCAGAGAAACATTTAAAATCTTTCTTTTTCCTTAATTCATGCCTCATAATTTCAATTAAAGCATCAAATTTGGATTGGGCTACATAGAAAATATCCCTGAAATGTTTGCTTACATGGTATTATCTCTGATGCGGTAAGAATTCAAACTCCAGATGGTTATTTGTTTCCCATCAATGCCATAACTCACTTGCCATCCTAATTTAGATTGTATCTTCTATTAGTATTTTAAAGTGTATTACTGCTAAATGAAGAATAAAAGAGACTACTGTATAATGAATCAAGGCAGAAATTAATTCAAGGACTTAGGAATGTACACCTTGAACTAAAAAAGACCATAGGTCTATCTAGTCCAGACAGGATTCTCTCCTAGGTTAACATGAAGATCATTGATATCGCCTGTTGGTCTCCTATCCAAGTCCTCACCTCTCTTTCTTTAACATTTCTCCACAAAATTAAAACCAGCACAAAAGGAGATTCTCTAAAAAATAATAGGTTGTTTATTTAATGACACAAAATGTGAAGGATTGGCTATAGAGCTCACAGAGTTCAGGGGAGATCAGTGGAAAATTACCCAGAAAATACAGGAACAAACTTATAAATGTATGATTTGGTATGAAAAACAAATAATCAAGCATCCCATATAATATGAAGGGCAACTGAAATATGGCAATTTATGGAGAACACTGTTTTTGGTTCATAAGTATGGGCTCACTCACATAGATTCTGGTCACATTTTCTACTCTGAAAGATAGCTATCTCTACAATGGCCATGACCATTCCGTAGATAGTGGGTGAAAAGGTTTCACAGATGTTGTTTTCAAGTTGCCTGCCAATTTATGAAGATCCATGAATTTCATAGAGTTTTCTTAAAGAAGGTGGTTTGCCATTATCTTTCTCTGAACTATCGCCTACAGAGCCCAGGAGGCCCCACATCCAAATTCTAATCAGGCTGATTATGCTTAGGTTCTATAGACCTAATGTTTTTAAGGGTATTTTACCAAAGCATACAATCTGGGCATACAGATTTGTGGTTTTTTTTTTAATGGTAAATTAACTGGAACAACCTGAGAAATAATATTCTGCTTTATTTTGTGTTGACTCCTGTGATCATGGTGATATAATTCATCATATAAAACCATTTCAAATGACTTCCATGTAAGAGCCATAATGTTTGAATTGATCCCAAATGGAACGCTACAAAAGGGAAACTGGTCTTGAAAAGTGGAAACGTCTTCAGCAAAAAAAAAATGTTGAAAGCTTGAGGTAGAGCAGATTTCAACTGTAATGGATGATTATATCCTAAGACCTGGTATTTTGCGCAATAAACTTTATTGTACAGTCCCAATTTCTGGGTGTGGATTACAGTCTGACTGTTTGTCACTAGTATTTCATAAATTATGTTTCTTCTTAGGAGATTTTTTTTCTTAGACCTTACAGAGACAAAAAGCACATATAAAATATGTAGTGTGTGGGTGAACTTGCATGTTTCATTCCCATGAAGAACTTAGGTATGAGATGTGGAAGCTGTGGAGCTGAACATTGTTCTACTGGACTTTACTGCAAATCATTCTGCGTGCTTCTCTTCTCTTCCATTTCCACATGTTTTTCTTTTTGCAATTTCATGGTAAAAATTTCATGGTAAAAATAAATGTAAACAGTCCAATGTAGTGCATACAATGTTTAACCACCACTTGGTGGTGGAGACTTACTGCATTAAACAACAAAGCTATATGTTTGATGATCATCTCTTATCATTTCACATGTTCCACATCCAAGGTAGATAACAATAATGTATGTTGCACGTGGATGAAAACGGAGAGTGTCACAAAAAGAATAAACTAATAAAAGAATCTATGGAGGAAATGTATGATGATGCAGAGAACAGCAAGGATGAAGGGAGGGCTGTGGGAAAAGGAATTGGAGCTTTGGTAGGTTATACCTTCACATCCACGCTCAATCTGCCCACTGCGATGTAGAGCATCATTAATCAGATCTGGCAGGCGTCCATTCAAGTCCACCGATGCTAGACAGCCCTGAAACCCATCACGGGATGCCACCAATTTGGGGAGGTTGCTATACATTCCTTGAACTAGGCCAGCAATGTAAAGATCACCTAGAAGGAAACAGAAGAAAGAACAAGAAAAAGAAGTCATCAAGCAGTACTTTTTACAAATGTACTGTAAGTACTACATTGTAAGAAGGCAGATGACACCAATGGAAAAGAACACTATGTGATATAAACAACAGTCAGTTATAGAAACAGGGAGCTATTTTGCTCAATTTATCTGTCAAGGAGTGAAAATGCAAGATGAAAAGCAAGAAAACATCATCTTGCAACACAAACCTACATTTGTGAACACAAAATATATTTCCTTATTTTGTATAAGAAGGTAACAAGTGAATTCAATGAATGTGGGGAGAGATTTGGATGGGGACCCATAATCTACTGCCACTCACGATTGGAATTTTGTGGTTGTCTATTGATGAATGGAAGTCTAGTGGACACTTCTGAGAAGACTTTTCCAAACTTAGAAATATACATGTGGACATCTCCAACATTTCAAGAAAAAAATATCAAGGTCCTGTAGAATTTTCCCCACACTTGTTTGTAGCTGTACCTATTATCTGAAAGAGGTCTACTCTGTTCAGATTGGATAACTGAGCAACACATACTATGGAAAAACAGCCCAAGACAGGAGTTCTAATGTACTCCATGGGATTTAGAGTAGGGAAAGAGGGCATTCCCAACATTTCACTATCCAACTGGGATGGATGTCATTTCCTTGATCATTTCATTTCCCCAAAGTATTGGCTGCTCCAAAGGGAATGGGACTAAACTATAGACAGACTCTTTCTTTCAAGTAAGGCACTTGCACCTGAAGGCACTTGAAGGAATATCTTCCACAAGTCTTTATTATTTGCTGCTGAGAGTAGTAGGTCAAAACATGTGAAAGGCCAAAGCTTATTTATTCCTGCTCTGAGACATCACCTATACATACTTTTCTTAACATGTACCTGGAGTGGACATTTTTAGCTTCAGGTGTAGATAAGTTATGTGTCCATTGAATCTCCTCCCCTAACTACTAGATGACAGAGAAAATATCTAGTTGTTAAGGAGAAGGTTTCAGTAACCTTCTCCTTGACATTCTTCATGTAATTTGCTTCTGAATGCATATTTGCATCCGAATGGTCACATAAGTGTTCTAAAGATGCTTGATGACTTTTTGCTGTGCTCATTTTAATGGGAACTGACCTAGTGTGTACCTCCAGGACTAATGGGCAGGCTAAAGGTTTTGTATCTGTTAATTGTTGTAGTTCCTGCATATTCTAACTCAATTTAATCTCCATGAAGTTATCAAAAATTGTTTTAAAATGAATATTTTGAGAGAAAATACCTTTAGAATCTTGCATTTCATATATTCTATGTTTTGGAATCATATGTTTTGTATGAAAGTACATTTATAAAGTAGATTTCAAAAAATACTGAAATGAGACTTCAGGAGTTGGTTTAAAAATAACTGCAAATTAATACAGAATGCTATAGAATGGATTATGTGAAAGTGAAAAGAATTCCAAAATATTGACACATTTCTGAATTGTTAGTATGTATTCCTGTGAAAGCATATTCCGAAACCCACAGTCTGTAATGGTATAATTCAAGTCAAGAGGGTGTAAATTCAGTAACACATGCATGTTCATGTATTGTTGGTTATATCAGTAACTTGTAACATAGAAAATGAATTAAACATCAGAGATTCATCTTCACAATTAGAACTTTCATATCATCCTATGTAAAATGAAACACGCCCTCCCCAGCATTCTTTGTTGGATATAGCTTGAGCAAATATACAGCTCTACATTGACTTTCTTATAGCTGAATCCATTACACCTGATGTAGTACTCCCACTTCAACCAGCACCTGCATCTCAAGTGGTGAAAATGTTTTCCAGATCTGCTATCTATGAGCTTGAAAATGTGAAAGATGTGTCCTGAGACTTTCTTCATAAAGATCTCATGCTCTTTCACAAAACTATGCTCACAGTTTCCCCACATTCATATTTGATGTGATAATCCAGCTAGTTCAGATATGTTAGTGATGATTATGACTGGGTGAATAAGCCTGCACTCAAGATCAAATTACTTACCCTTAAGGTCAAGGTTTTTGGCACCATTGATAACCTGAGTAACAATTCTGGTATCCACTTTGAGGCTGTGGGTATTGCTGTTGTCTCGAGTGATGACTACATTGTGCCACTGGTTGTCATTCAAAGGCCGATCACTATTGCCCTTGATGACATTAGGTCCATTCCCCAGGTCAAACACATAATGTATATACCTATAAAAGACAAGTGTCAATTCAGAAGAAACCTCACCATGAAAATAAATAAGCACCAAATATATAGAAAATGTTAAATATCTTAATTTTCTAATTTCAAAAATTTCAGGTGCTCCCAAAGAGCTACTCAAGGACAAGGAAAAGAACAACCAGATTGCTGTATTATCCAAATTACTTTCTAAACAAGAATGAGGAAGCATTTAAAGTTAGGCTACTAAATATGTAATTGCACATATAAATTGACTAACACAGGGAATGCCAAATCTCACTTACCCCTTGACAAGCTCAACGGCAATAAAATCATTTCCATCCCCACTGTTGAAAAGGATGAAGCCATCAGCAGAGGTTGTTTTGAACTGAAAGAAGAGGTGCATGGAGGTGTACGCCTGCAAGGTTGCCAAGCTCAAGTAGCTGCTCTTGGTCTTGAAGGTGACGGGATCAGCAATGATGTTACGGAGTCCAAAGCGGGCTTTCAATTCACAGTAGTCAATGTCACCATTCTTGCATAAGTCAATGTAGAGAAGACCATTGAACATAAGGCTCTGGAGGTGGCCAATGAAGCTAGAGGGAATGACAGAGATGTAACGCTTCTCTGTCATTATCCCAGTCTCAATATTGTGAAACTCCAAGCGTGTGTGGTCACCAACCATTGTTCCTGAGGATCAGAACACAATACAACTGAAGAAAGTTCTGTGGAATAACGGCCATGATAAAAGGTCTGCCTCTAAAGCATTAACAATCATTAGATTTCTGTTACTAGATCTAAGAGCTACCATCCATTTCCTTAGATAGAAATATCAAAGGCACTTCAAAGCAGCAGAAGGTTTGATTGAATTTTAATTTAATTTTTTGCTTTACTTTGTTGTTTCTCTGTTATTTGCACTTCTTCTTATCATATGACCTGGTTCACTTTCTTGGGTCACCTCTTGCTCTGCTAACTGTGACTGTTTTCTATTTGGGGTTCATTGTGGCAGGAGTGTAGATGGAGGGGGGGTATGAGGACATTGCTTCACAAATAAGAATTCTGGCTTCTCAGAATGAAAAATAACTGCAATGATAGAAATTTGAAGACTGAAGGAAAATTAACTGAAGGTCATTATACTTATTAGGCATCACAGTTCTGCACATCCACACATCTCAGCTACATGTCTACTTACGGTCTAGTATACCATTACCTATACTGATCTGCAATGTGTTTACATAAGTGATGCATTTTTTTTGGGAGGGGGGCTTTCTTGATCAGTTTGGTCCCTACTGATTCAGTTACTTTAAAGATCATTCTAGAGTTGGCAAATGTTGTTGTGTAAATGCTGGGATACAGTGCATAGGTGATCAAAAACAATTTCAGAAGTCAGTAATAGACTGCCCAAATTCTTCTCAATCACAAAGTTTAAAAAGTTGTGCTAGGTAAGTTGTGATCTATTTTCTGACACTTTTGAAACTTAAATAAGTGCAAGTGATAGGGTTAGTACTGTTATTTAATTGTCAAGAGCAAGAAGATTTGGAGAAGGAAGGAGGTAGGAAAGGGAAATGAGAATGCAGTCATAAAAATGATAATATGCTCAAAAGCCATCCTGCTGCTTTGCACAAGGAGAAAGAGTCTGATGTTATTTTGGTTATCACTTGGTTCTGCTCAGTGATGTGGCAGGGGGTATGGAAGAAGAAGGCGATGGATAAAACAGCCTCATTAACTTCAAACAGCAAATTACCTCTCCATTTGGGCATGGTGTGTCTCTGAGCTGGTCTTTAATTATTTGTTTCCACAAAAGCTCTAATTAAATTACTTTTACAATATTCACACAAACACACACACTTATAAAGTTATAATTATTTTACACACTATAGTAATTTATATTCATCAAAAATAATCCCCACAAATATGTTGTGTGTGTGTGTGTGTACACACACACACACACACACACAGAGGATAATAATTTAAATGATACGGGATTTTACATTATTATAGTATTTTAATGGAGTTTCTTATTTCAATTATTTTCACATCTAGTCATCTTGAGCTTCATAAAAAGGAAGATAATAATAATAATAATAATAATAATAATAATAATAATAATATCCTATAAACTTAGGTATATCAATATATCAATTATTGACTATAATTTATGTTTTTTCTCCACTCCTCCTGCATGGGCATGCCCATTCTTTACTTGTACCATTAATACTGAATATGCCATCAAGTGGCTGTGTTTTGAAATGGCATTGATTTGGGCACAGAGACACAGTTTACCCAAAGGATTTAAACAAAAAGAGATAGCAGTAGTAAACATGCTTTCTAAATAGTAGATACAAATGAAGAAGTATCAATATATAATGCTTTGAGATGTCCTCAAATTGGATTTTTTGAAAAATAGTACAATGACTATTTCTCTCTGTATATGCATCTGTGCACTCATATGTACAGAGGCACAGCTGTGTGCACACACCTGCAAGTGCATACTTATTTTTTTCCTCTCTCTTTCTCTCTGTAGCATCCTTCCAGCTCCACCTCTAGGTTGAGCGAATAAAACACATAGTATGTTTGCAAACTTCCAAGTGGATTTTTATAAGATAATCTTTCAAATCCTGGAAAAGAAATCTTTGTGGGAATGATCCAATAGTTACTGCAACCTGAGCCCTCTTGCTAAGCTAAAAACGAATGCGCAAGATGAATTTGCAAACCACCAAACACTTTCACAGCAGGCTACTTCAGCTACTGTAGGCTGTGTTCACTGCATCAAGCAAGTATTATGAGCAGAAGCTCATAATTTTTTGTTAGGCACTCTTTTCATTTCCCTTTCTCCTTGCTCTTTTCTGTGTAACTGGAATGAGTTGAAAGTTTCACTTAATTTAGACTGCTATCCAGGCTGCTGTCTTCCAATTACTAATTTCACAATGTATTTAGGTTCTTCATGCTCTCCTTTTTAATAGGTATGAGTCACACAAATCAAGCTTATGTTAAGATGGCAGGGATGCCCAGTTCTCTACCATAGAACACATTTCTTTTGCCCAAATGGGTATCTGAACTCATGTTTTCATCCTAGTTAATGACAAAAATTGGCCAGAATATCCCCATTAACAATATGAAAAAGGCAGTTGAACTGGGACAAAATATGGGTATCAAAACTAAAATTTTGGAGAGATTCATTCACTCACCTTCAGCAACATCGTCATCCACTGTCAATTTCAAACTCTTTCCTCGACGTACCACCCGTACTGTGTGCCATTCATTGTCATTGAGTTTTTGTCCTGCATAAAGGGTCTCAGGTCCTTTACCTGGGAATGGTCATAAGTATAAGAAAATATTAAATCCAGACCAATGTGTAAAAAAACCTGCTTGGTTGAAATGTTGCTGAAATCACTTTGGTGTGAAAGTGAGTGCATATGGCACAATAGGAACTGCTTATACTTCAAATATAGTTGTATACCTTATGCAGTTTAAACTGAATAGATAATTACTCCTTTATTCTTATTACAATCCAGAAAAAACATATATAGTTTAAAAGGAAGATTTAGCATTTCCTGATCTTTTATATCAATAAACTTCACTGTAGTGTTAAATAATCATAAACACTGGTTTGTTCTTCAAGAAACTGAAATGTCAATATTTTTGTTTCAGAGTGAGCAAATAACTTTTCTGTTACTATGTAATAATGATCACACATATCAGGATATCAGCCAACATATCTCCAAACAAGATCAAAGATAAAATAATCCAGTTATCCCAACATTACTCTTCCATATGGCCAAAGATAACCAACGCTAGCACAAATTCTTCCCTTTTTTAAATTAAATACATCTTTTTTAGATTGTTTTTTTTCTATGTCCTAAAACATCAAATCCTCTGGCAGACAATGCTCCTGAAGGTAAACAAACTTTTCAAATTTTCTGGCTCTCCATTTTCAACAAATGTCATTGACTTGCAGTTCTAAGTCTTTGTAGCATTAAGACTAGGGAATCAGGTACAGTTATATTATACAAAGAATATGGTTCATGGTGTCTGTAAAACATCTCAAAACACATAGCTATCAAGCCCAGGTAAAAGCAACAGAAATAAAAAACTATAAGTAATCTAGAGTATAGCACAAATGCTAATATATAAAACTGTGCTGGGCTTTAGAGTAAACATTTGCCTCAATGGTGGCAATATAAGTCATTCTTCTCCAAGAAGTGACCTCATATGGTAGGAGGAGAATAGCATTACTGTCAATGAAACACATAGTCCTTGCTCAAAGTGGGTAGCTTTCTGATAGTATTTCTAGACTAGAGTACCCAGCTTGCAAGATCCCCATGTACAAAAATATTGCCAAGAGAAACCATCCTATTCATGGGGCATATCCCTTAGTTCTGTAATACTGCAATAACTTGGATTTAAAATAAACAGCATTGATCTACTTGAGTATGAAATATCTGCTTTGTCCCATTATGCCAACAGCAGATCTCGTTCCTCCAATCCCTGGACTAATAGGGTGTGTGAAATGTTTTGCTTGATATGTAGCTTTCTGAAATTCTTGTTTTGGTTGCATCAATCCATTCCAATCCAAATCCAAATGAAAGCACACATTTTGGTATAAAGGACAAACTTTTGGGATGTTTCAGCCATGAGTTGCTATCAGATGAGGACAAGATCAATTCTGGGAGTCATTTCACTAGCTATTCCATTTGTACTTGGTTGGAGCTATGCCTGTGTAACATTGTGCTGTAAGGGGAATGGGGAAAAGGCTTGAAAAGGAACATATTGGGTACTTCCTTTCTCCAACATTTAGAAGTAATGACAGCATAACGTCACTTCCTGTGATTCTGCTTTATAAGCTTCTGCTTTTGCTGTTGTTCATGCTGTTGGAGTATTCTACTGTGAAACTTTATTTTTGTAGTTATTGTATTTTGTGAATTCCTTTTATTATCTTGATAATGCAAGTGCAAGAGATCAAATTTTAAAGACAAACTAACAAAACAATTGCCAATATTCTTAAATCTCTGGAATCAATTAATCCATTAATTCATTCATTCAGAATAAACATGCACAGGTTGACATTGTCTTCATTACAAAAGGATGTATAGAACTCAAAACTAGTTTCTACTTTTTTTCCAGTAAAAGAGATAGCTCATAAAGGTGCAATGAATATGGTACTTTGGTTACCATAGCTCCTTTCAATAGTCCATAGAAAGTATAAAAATAATGCAGATGGAGCTGTGGTTTTACAACTCTTCCAGTGAGATAAAAGGGAAAAATATGGAATATTGTTTAACACCATTCTACTATGCTCAGCCATTTCTGTTTTTCAGATTAGGCACAGAATTGCATTCAGAGGTAGTCTGAGTTTGATGAACAATAGCAGCCTGTCATTCAGCAAAATAAATCAATAACACTTCAATGGGAAGTTGCACCTTTGCAATATCCAACTAACCCCAGGCCCTTTTTTTCCTGGAAGCTGACATCTTGTTTGTAGCTGTTAGTGTTTTGCTCTCAAAGGCTCCAAAGAAAAATAAATATGGTATTAGCACTGCCTCACTTTCTAGAGCATAATAACATTAAAAACAAGACAAATTCAGAGATTCAAAACTAATAGCTCTGGGGTGCGAGAGGAGAGATTATTCTGTCTTCAAAGGCTTTTCAGCAATCTGTAGAATATATTTGGAATGAGATGATTTTGAGTCTTTTTAGATTTATTCACCACTTCTTTATTACAAGACTTTGTTGTTGTGTTTAGCTTTAGCAGCTATTGGTTTTGTTACTTGGGAGACATCTGCAATAAGAAAACAGCCGTGTTGGGCTTTTTTTCCTCATTTGTGATCACCTGCTGTAAGGTCCTGTTCAGTAGCACTTCTCTCAATGTTACATCCCAAATGTTTCCATGGCAACAATGTGCAATGGAATAGGCAGAGGCAACAACCAGTGCGGGTGGACTGTCCAAACATTAAAAGTACGGTTTTTAATATAAAAAAAGAAGAAAAAATAAAGTTGCTCCCCTACTCCTAATACAGGTAGGCAATTGATATTAAACAAAAATAGAGAGGGAAAACAGTCACCCTGGAAGATGAACTGCTGGAGACACTGTCTATTTTTAAACGTTTTTGATTAGGTGGCAGATGGTTGTTAAGCAACTTTTTTCATTGTTGTTCATTGCTTAATTTTTATGAGATTATAAATAACAGGCAGAAAGATTCACATAAAGTAGAATGCAGGAAAAAAAACAGGACAAGCCTTAACTGGAGATTAACTAGTAATGTTCTGGGACAATATTTTTGGTGATGTTTGATTGTTGTAAGAACTGGTCATTGAATTCCTTGATATGAGTTTAGAGACAATATTATACTACAAGGGATCTACATTAAAGATTTCGCCCGACCCACTTCCTGTGAACTGAGAGCAATGACACTTGGCACAGTTATTAGTCCTTCTCTACATAGGTGCTACCTAAGGACACACACTTCTCCCATCTTTTTACACCTCACTTGTAGAAGTCAACAGGTTGCTCCAAAAGCCACATTGTGACTTTTGAAAATCAGATTCTCAACATTTGAAAAATGCTTGCCCTTCAAAAATAACTTCATTGTTGGGAAGAGGTGGAAGTCCAATGGTGCAAGGTCAGGTGAGTAAGGGGGATGCAGTAGAATTTCAAAGCCACAGGCGCATGCTTCCATTTGGGCAACATGTGAGTTGTGAACTGGTGCACTGTCTTGCATAAGGCAGACACCTTTGGTAAGTATGCCACATTTCTTGGTTTTGATGGCCTCCCGCTATTTATGAAGCAGTGAAGCATAGTCAGACCCAGTGATCATGGTACCCTTTGCTAGGAAATCCATCAATACTACTCCATGCTAGTCTCAAAATACTGTGAGCATGACCTTGCCTGCCGAGAGTTGGGCATGTGCCTTCTTTGGAAGCAGTGAGTCATGATGCTTTCATTGCATTGACTGAACTTAAGTCTCAGGATCATAGTGATGGACACAGCTTTCATCCTGTGTGATCTGTCTGTTGAAAAGGTCCTCCTGGTTTCCTTAGCACATCGTCAATAGAGCCTGAGAGCATTTGTCTCGTTCCTGCCTCTGGAAAGGTGTGAGCAGCCAGGGGACCCAGCGAGCATTTATCTTATGCATTTGAAGATGGTCTTGGATGATGTTTTTCATGGACCATTTTTTCCAAAATGGTGACCTCCACTTGCTGGGTGGTGTGTTCATCAATAGCAGAGTGGGTCATCCTGGAATTGGAGCTGTTTCCACTAAACATTTGAATTGACAATGGCAGTTCTTGACTACATCATATGATGGGGAATCATCATCTCATCAAATGTCTCCTTTGTTGTGCAGTCTTTCAAGTAAAGGTACTTGATGACTGTTCTGTATTACACTAGGTCCATTATCAAACCTCACACCACTTCAGCACCTGTAAAATCAAGACTATTAATAATTCTGAGTTTTAAATTGGCATGTAACCTAGAGAAACTTATATCATTACATATGTGCAAATTCAGTGTCCTGTGATAAATAGAAGTGGGTCAGGGGAAATCTTAAATGAATACCTCTCATATCAGAAAAATGAGAAGTGGCATTATTCCAGCCAATGAATTTAAAATTTGTATGTGAGGACCCACATGTGCAACATCTTGTTGAACTGCATGTAGAATAAATGTACTAGATAGAAAACACATGTAGGATGAAAAAAGTAGTTTCCCAAACAACAGAAGATCATAGAATAACAACACTGGATATAGCCTGTTGTCTTCTATATTTCTGTGCAGACACCTCCAGGTGATCAGCCAGATGAGAGAAATATAGAAGACATATCAGTTGTTCTTAGCCATGGTACTATAGAATGCAATCCCAATGCTACACTAAAAGTAAGAAGAATCATTCATTGAGGGAAGAATACTTATAATAGTGCTTATGTCCTTATGGGCAGGGACCAGGTGATGAGATCAAGACCACAATAACCAAATTATTGTGTTTGCTTTCCAGGAAGAATATGGCTGTCACGCTGTAAACTGCTCTTTACTCTGAATGACAAGCAATTGCAACATTCCATTATGAAGATGCTAGGCAGGTAGCAAAAGAGAGTGAAATTTCAATTTACTTGAGGATGGGATCTTTCCCTTGTACTTATGCTGATGAACAAGTGACTGTAAGAAATTCATCCTTGTAGGAATGAAGGAATCACTGGCGAGAAAACTTGGAGCCAGTATGTTTCCGGTTATTTATGTTATTTAGTCTTGTATAAACTGTCCTTCAGCCCAAGGTATTCTAATATTGTGATGTCTCTGTGTGTACTGTGTGCT